CCAAGGAGAAAAAGATCTTATAAAGTAAAAACAATAACACGGGGCTGGGAAGGTGGCTCAGTAGTAGAGCGCTTGCCTTGCATGCCTGAGGCCCTGGGTTCGATTCCTCAGCACCACATAAGCAGAAAAAAAAAGCCAGAAGTGGCGCTGTTGCTCAAGTGGTAGAGCACTTGCCTTGAGCTGAAGAGCTCAGGGACAGTGCCAGGCCCAGAGTTCAAGCCCATGATCAACAAACAACAACAACAACAACAACAAAAACAATATTGAGCCAGGCGCCAGTAGCTCACGTCTATAAATCCTAGCTGTTCAGGAGGCTGAGATATGAAGATGGCAGTTCAAAGCCAGCCCGGGCAGGAAAAGTCTGAGACTCTTGTCTCCAATAAATCACCAGAAAACTGGAAGTGGTGCTGTAGTTCAAGTGGTAGAATGCTAGCCTTGAGCTGAAGAGCTGAGGGACAGCGCTCGGGCCCAGAATTCAAGCCCCATGACCGGCAAAAAAAAAATAAAAAATATATACACATATAGAAAAAGAACAAAAACAAAAGACTCATATTTACCAATTTTTCAAAACATATTACTTAACACAGTACAAAATAGTGTGGTAATGGTATAAAGACAAACATTAATGGAAGACAACAGAAAGCCCATGTACATGTTCAAATGATTTTTACAAAGATGTCAAGACCACTTGAAGGAGAAAGGATAGTCTCTTCAACACAGTGCTGGAAAATTAGAAATCCATATAGAAAAGAGTGAAGCTAGAGTCTTATAACATAAAACCCAAAGAGGGATAAGGTTGTAGATCAATGACACGGCACTTTCCAGGCATGAGGCCCTGAGGTTGATCTCTAACCCCACAAACTAAAAAGAAACCTGACTCTGATGGCTATCATACTAGTTATTCGGGAGGCTAAGATCTGAGGATCAAGGTTTGAAGCCAGCCCCCCCCACACATAAAAAATGTCAATGAGACTCTTATCTCCAATTAAACACCAAAAAAAGCCAGAAGTGGAGGTAGTAGAGTGCCAGCCTTGAACAAAACAAGCTAAGCAAGAGTTCACAGACCTGAGTTCAAGCCCCAGTGCTGGCATAAATAACTAGATAAATAAATACTATTGTCATCCATTGGGAACATCCATCCCCCCTTTTTAAGGAATAAATCTGAGACAAAAATCACATAAAATGAAAACTATAATAACAGCATACTACACACTGTTTTTTCTTTACCTCAACTTAGCCACCTAACCATGAGCAATACAAGGAAGAAACACAAGTTAAGAACATTGGGCTGGGCGCTGGTGGCTCACGCCTGTAATCCTAGCTACTCAGGAGGCTGAGATCTGAGGATCGCGGTTCAAAACCAGCCCGGGCAGGAGAGACCGTGAGACTCCTATCTCCAATAAACCACCAGAAAACCGGAAGTGGCGCTGTAGCTCAAGTGGTAGAGCG